TCTCAGTTCAAAATGTAGATTCTTTTAATTTTTGATTTTTGATAAATATACAAGGTGTCCTATTTTAATGTCCCATCCCAAATAACTTTTTTATTTTTATCATTTTAAAAGAAAATATTTCGGACAAAAGTTATATGATTTTGAGGGGAACTTAAGATGGTGCCATTAGTTCGACCTTGAATAATTGTTTGAAGGTCACGTGAAGGTCACCTTCGATTTCTTAAATGGAACCACTTATATTTTTCATTACATATTCTTGTAGCTTATCTCGAGAGCTTTTCAAAATTTTATAATAAAGTATTTTTTCATTAACAATAAATACTTTTTGAGGTATAAAGGTTCGAAGTTAACAATTTTTTGACATAAAATAAAAAATATTCAGTTTTTGGTAAACATATATCTTAGGTTCCTCTCGAATTTGTCTGAAATATTTTTTTCTTCAATCAAAAATAAAAGTTATTTGCTGTCATGTAATATTGGGTTAAAAGGAAATATTTATCAGCTTGAAAGTATGCTAATATATACGCACGCGCACGTGTGTTTGTTGTGTGTAATATTTAATTTATAAATATATACGTATAAGTAAAACCTTATACACATATAATACAGGGTCTCCTATTTTAACTTATGAATAATGCATTATAAAGAGAAATGTTTCAAACAGAAGTTGTAGGATTTTGAGGGGGAAAAAAGTGTTAGTTCTACTGACTTTTTCGTAAAGAGCAATTTTTAAGGTCATTTAAAAGTTACTTATGTTTTTTATAAATAAAACGCCTATTTTAATTTTTTATACAAATCAATTCCTCGTAATATTTACTATAAAAAGTTATAAAAGAGTAAGATAATAAAAAAATTATAATAGTTTACGTGATATTTTATATATTTTAGTTTAACATAATTTTACATAAACTATGAAATATTTCATAAAATATTCATGTTTTGTTCATTTTATGTTAATATTTTTATGCACAAAATTACGAGAAGAATCAATTGGTGTAAAAAAAATACACAATTGTTTATAAAGAAAAGTATGTAATTTGTAACTAACAGCTACATTTTTTTTAAACAACTATGTGTTTTCTTTTATATAAAATTATATCACATTAAAGTACAAAATATAGCATAAACTGCTTTTTTGGTCATCCTATCTTTATAACTTGTTATACCAAGTTTTGCAAGGAATCGATTTATATATAATAAAATTATATAGCGGTTCTATTTAAAAAATAAGGAGAAAACCTTTTTGTTCTTTAAAAGGCCTTTTTATTTTTATTATTATGAAAATATATATTAACAACTATATGTATAATTCACATATTTTAATTCTCAATTACTTTTTGTTTCTTTTTAATTTCATATTATTTCGGTCGCTATATATAATTAATGCTCTTTATTATTAAAAATTATGTAATAGATGAAAAGTATGTGTGAGATCGATAAATTTATGAAAAAAATGATGGAACTCGATTCTCGGACGATCCGCGGACATTTGTTTGCGAGGATAGACAGGCCTGCGAAATTTATTCGCGATCTGGAAATCTCCACCTCGTCTGTCAGCTACAACCACGAAAATCGGAAAAATCTGCCAGCGCGGAAAAAAGCGAATTCGCGAGATTCGCGATGTTGAAGTGGCATCAAAAATGAATTTGACATGCATATTATCTTCATTATTCTGACGTTAATGACAAATTAGCTCGATGGGAGCAATCTATTTTAAATTTATAATAAGAAATAAACTTTTATGCTATATATTTAAGTTAAGTTAAGTTAAAGTTAGTTGTTTATAAAATTAATTTAGTTAAAAGTTTGCATGAAGAAAAAATTACCTCGGTTAAAGTTAATTTTTAAAAACATTATTTATATTAAACTAGAATTTTGTTTGTTAATTCTTTTAAAAATTTATAATAACAAATAACAAAGAAATTTGATTTTTATATAGAAATATATTTTTTGGTAATTACAATTGATGATAAATGAACGTAAAAATTAATAATACTTTAATTAAAAAATAATACGTTTACCACTTATAAAAAAACAATAATGGTATTCAGAGATATAAAAAATTTTACTTAGGAAAAAAGTTAATAAGTTTAAGGTTAAAAATAACTATTAGTTGAAGTTAAAATTAATACATTTTAAATTAGTTTTAACTTAGAAATTATCGATTAGTATAATAGTGTTGATTTTGATACTTCGATCTTTTGTTACAAGAAAATTAAATGAATATCCATAATCATACTAATAATTTATAAAAATATACTGATAAAGAAATATATTAAAAATCATTATTATTAATAAAATTATTAATATTTTTTATTATTGGTTTATATTTAAAATTTGTTGAAGAATGCAGTCTTCAGAAATTTTCATTCTGCAAGTGCATGTAGCGAAATAAAAAGCAATTAATTTATTAATTGTATTTATTAATATTTTTTGAAATAAGAAAATTCTATCTGCAATTTTATTTTGCAAATTCTCTGAGAAAATTAAAATTGATAAATCTCGATAAAGTAAATGTATTCAAAAACATTTTTTTAAAATATTTTAGAAAAATATTAATTATTCTGTTAATTAAATTATTACAAAATTGATGGTTCATTATATTAAAATAATAAGTAAAGCAATCGACGAATTAATTTCTCATTCACGTTTTCTCTCGTTTATTCGCACCCCATCAAATATTTGCGCGACTTTTCGCGCCTTGACGTATCCGCCGGATCTCCGCGTTTGTTGTACTTGGGATTTTGTGGTTCCGCGTAACTTTATTCGTCTTTAGCAAAGGCTTAAACTTTGCTCCTCTTCTCCTGGCGAGGAGAGAAAACTTCCTTCGAGGAAACGTTAACGATGGATTTTCCGAGAGGATCAATAAACAGCGTTTTCTTCCTTGCTTCTTATAATGTGATCGATATTATGATTTTGCATACATGTACACATAAACGAGTACGTGTCATCGTTCGAGGAATAGAAGGGGAACATTAATGAAATAATTAATACAAAATAATGCCTAGATTGCAATTCGTGTTATTTTTCATTTTAATGCATTTATTTTCACGTACAAGTGCGTATGCAGGAAAAGTAAAACATGGAAGGTAATTTACAAAAGCTCTCTTATGCATTTATATTTATATATACACGCAAATTTCGCTCATGCAGATGATATAAACATTTACACTCCCCTTCAATCCACGCTTTCAATTAATTCCTTTTATTTACAAAAAATGTTATACTTATTGTTAACTAATTTGACGCACGTCATATAAATTATAATATAAACAACTTTATAATTTTTTAACAATTTGGTAATTATTAATTAACAATTATTGATTGTATTGATAATAATTTGTAACTAATAGTTTAAATTTTTATATATTATATAATTATCGATTCTTTCTCTCTCTCTTTCTCTCTTTTTCTCCCTCTACATACACACACACACGTATACAAACAAACATACAAACACATATATATATATATATATTTATAATCACAATTATTTTTATTTTAAAAAGTTTGCAATTAATACTAAAGTAATCAAATCATTGAAACATTATTCTTGGATCATTATTTATTTATAAATTATTAATATCTAACAATTAATTATTTTTTATTTTATATATTATTTTTTTATAATATATAAAAAATATATAAGTAATAAAATCTTTGTTTTAAAAATGGAATTTTGGCCGATAATAGATTAATTTTCTAGCGTTATTTTTAATTATTTAAAGTTATTTACATTGACATTTATTGCACGCACTGACAAAAATTTTTTTGATTATCGCTAAATCGCAATCAAAATAATATATATGTATATAATATAGCATATATGAGTAAATTGTATATTTATAAGTATTATGCATGTATACATATATATATACTTATACATATACAACACTTACACAGTATGTATAATAGCCTCTTTGTACACATTAAAATGTTCTTATCAAAATGAAACTAATAATCTTAGCAAGATTTTAATGATATGTTTGGATATTCTCTTTTCCTTCCAAAACACAAATGACAATTAAACTTATTATTTAAAAATACATTAAATTATTATTTCCCTGCTTCAAGAATAATTAAAAGAATAAATAATTCTAAGAACAATATTCAAGATAAAATTTAAAGAAGAATAGATGTCAAAAATTTCAATTTGTTTTTAAATGTCCTTATTCTTTAATGCATATTAGTTTGTTCTTAAAATTCTTTCTTCTTTTAAATTTTTCTTGAATAATTAATTTTTCTATTATGTAAAATTATGCATTTTTTGTTTCTAATTATATGTAATAAAGTTACATAAATCGTAATTTAAAAATATTAATTTAGCTGCAAAAATAATTATTTTTATAATTCTCTTTATAAAGAATAATATATAAAATTTGAAGAATTAGTTTAATATTTATTTAATCGGTTATAGACACAATGTTTATATTTTTATTATTTTTGGTACATTATTGAGCAACATTCTGGTTAAAAATTAACGTTTAAGTAATGAACAGAAATTAACGCTATATCTAACGAAATTAAAAATATCTAATAATTAACTTATTATTTTTTTGTGCGTATCATAATTTTATCTGAGGCAAAAAAACATATTGTATGTATAAACAACCAGTATTAATTAATCATATTTCCGATTCTATAACAGGTAAATATATTAATATATTAATATATAACAACGCTATAAAATCTTTGGAAAGATGGATAAAATTTTTTCTGAGAAGTAATAAACACAAGCAATGACAAATATAATAAAACCTCTGAATTGAATTAAAATAAAATTGAATTAATTTTAATTCTAGAAAAAGTATAGAATAATAATTTTGATAATTAAATAAATTAAAATGTTTGGTATAATTTCACTGATTTAATCGGAAGAAAAGAAAATATAAATTAAAAATAATTAAAAAATACAAATCTTATGTTGATAAATTGAAAATAAACTTTTTTGAAAATAAAACCTGGTTTGCATAATATATTTGTATGATCGATTTGATTCAATCGATTTAATTAAAGAAATAAATGGTTTAATTTAATTTCGACCTATAAATTGATAGAGAAAAGTCAACCGAAATTGGATTTTTACAGGAAATTACATCCACTTACAACATATTTAATTGTAAGTGGTGGTTAAATCGGTGAGTTTCTATGCATATTTACTGAAAAAAAGAAAAATGGACTTAAATCCTCTCCTCGGAATTCAATCAGTGCCTTTACAAAAAGATTTCTTTACACGGTTTTTACATCGCAATTAATTATTCTAAATCGACAATCAAAGACTATAATTTCGAGTCGATTTCGTCACTGCGAATAACCTGTTGCGATGAGTTTTCACGGGCGATGCAACCGCGGACGGCTTGCAGGATGATGCCTATCCGTCGGTCCAAGGCGGTTAGATGGGGTTCCCATAAAACAGGAGCCACGGGATCCTTCGCCATGCTCTGCCGCATAGCAGCGCTGAGCCGCATAGGACCGTTGTGGAAGCTACAAATAAAAATTAAAAATTATCCCGACAAAGTTTTATGTATGCACGTGTGTGCAATGCTTGCTGTTATCTAAATAAAATTATAGATGATCATCAATAAAAATATGTATTATCTATATCTGCATCTTAGATGAAAGAAAGTGTTATTTTTACCAAATTATCTAGAATATTGTTCAGATAATTTGAATTAAAGCACATAAAAATACTTAAGTAGTAGAACAAGCAGTAAGCGACAAAATATTTAAATAAGTATTATACATATTTTAATTATAAATTTGATAAATATTTGTGTTTTATAAAAATTTATAAATACAAATATATAAATATATTTTTATATGTTTTTATAATTTACATTTTTTGTATAACTGTGTTTACTTAAGCAGTTTTAAAATAATTTTTTGAAAATTATCTAGATGAATCGCCATATAATTTTATCTTTTATTTAGATATATTTGAAATAAAATCATCTTCATTTTATCTAATTGTAAGATAAATTTATATATTTTTATCTCATCTTTATCTAGCTAATTTTTAAATCATCTAAGCACAACACCGGCAATGTTTGCTGTTATCTAAATGAAATTAAATAGATAATCATTTAGATAAAATTTGATGTCATCTTATCTTTATATTAGATACTTTCTTTAAATAGATCTTTATATAGAGATAATTAAAATATATCCTATCTTACAAGGAACATGTCACAACTATCCGGAACCGATTTGATTCTTCTTCAAATATGTTGTTAAATACACAAATCTAAAAGATACGTATTTTTTATATGTGCGCATTTTGAGTTTTAAGGTGTGAAACACTCCTTTAAAGAATAACGGTGTTTTTCTTTAGGATCGAATATCTGCTAAACTATAAAAAGATAAAAAGAAAAATGTACAACAAATTTTAATGGCTTGAAGAGTACTTTAAAGTTATATGAACAAAATTTTTATTTTATTTGTTTTAAACCCTTACCACGTAATTTTTTCACAATTAAAAATTTTACCTAATTTAAAGCTTATTTTTTTCCGAATTCAACCATGTGTAATAATTTAAGTTATGTTACGAAATATTATTTTCAAAAATTAATTATAAACGCTCCCATATATACGCTCATTCGTGCTATGTGCGTAAGTAATTACCGTCGAATAATGAGATATATAAAACATGTTTTGTATAATTCTTATTTATGTTTTCTATGTATTTATAACTGTGTATATTTAGATTTTTAAAAAAATTTTAAATATAATTAATAAGAATTTTTAAATATACTTCCAGCCTTCTTATTATTTCTTTAATATTTAATTTCTTCTATAAAAATTAACAATTATATTCTATAATAAAATTATTTTTAATTAAATCTTGCAATATTTAGCACAAACAAATTTTATATCTTAAACGTTAAATGAATTATAAGATAAGATTATGTGTACGTGTTCCAGATAAGTTATAATTTTTATAATTGAATGTGCAAATAAATACATGTAGCAATATTTGGCATAAACAAATTTTATATCTTATGTTAAACGAATGATAAGATAAGATTATGTGTACGTTCCAGATAAGTTATAATTTTTATAATTGAATGTGCAAATAAATACATGTCGCAATATTTAGCATAAAAAAATTTTATATCTTACGTTAAAATAAATCATAAGATAAGATTATGTAATTACGTGTTTCTGATAATTAATATAAATTGTTCATGTAACAGCATAATTCTCACAGTCAGTGTTTGTTCGTATTTTCTGTTAAAGATTTAAATATTAAATTTTTATGCGGTGCATAATTAATATATTTTTATGCATTGATTGCAATAATTTTTGCATGTATGCATCGCTACAAAATAAGAAAAAATATATAAAGATATACATATATATACAAAATAGTTCCCAAACAATACAATAGAAATTCGACAAACTGAAAATTATGTACATAATAAAAACTTAAAATTATGTATATAATGAAAATTTGGGAATTAAAATTATGTGCATAATAGAAATTCGGGAATTAAAGTTAGGTACATAATAGAAATTTGGCGGATTAAAATTATGTAATAGAAATTCAGCGAATTAAAATTATGTATATAATAGAAATTCCGCGAATTAAAATTATGGTCATAGCATCAAGTAACTATCATTGCGAAGATTAACAATTTGACAGTTGTAAAATAAACAATCGAAATAATATCGAAGGAGCACGCGCTTGTGTTGTCTAGTAAAAATAAAAAGAGAGCTGTCAACTTTATCAACAATTGACCTTTGGATATTAATTACTCTATGTAAATAATATTCATAATTTTTGACATTAATAATAAATAATAATTGTCGCTGCGTGATAAACTGATTTGAATCATTTAATCTTCAATTGTTCGAGTGAAATTCACAGCACGGTAATAGAATTCTGCAAGCAGAGCACTGAGATCAATAGCGATGAGAGCGATTAATTCACGCGCGTTTGTTTACTGTATTTATAAAGTCGTTGCTCTAGCGCAATTGACATTATTATAGTATTGGCATTTCGAATTTTCAGATGAGTGCCGAATGCGAGAGCGTGTTGGAAATAACGGAAATGTCGGAAATGCGAAATAAATAGTATATTAGTATGCTAATTAATTTATGCCATTATTTATATATATGTATACTCTACCTATACCTATTTATTTATATACTCTTGTACTTTTAATTTTCAATTTAATTACAAATCAATAATATACCTCGATAATAACGTTTCTCTAAGGTAATCCTAAGCGCCGTCTTGTTTTATCGATAAAACATCGCATTTTTGTATCCCCTTTTCTTTTTATTAAATAGAATAAAAAAATTTTTTAATTTCTTAATTTTAAAATATTTTGTTTTCAATATAAAATCGGTAAGTTCACGCTTTGTTTCTATATGTACTTTAATCGTGGGAGAGCATTTATTATTCTATTCATTCAATAAAAAGAAAAGGGTGCACAAAAATAATATTTTATCGATAAAACAAGACGGCGTCGGAGTAAGAGGATGTCGGAGTCGAAAAGTGAGATTAGATTCGACTATAAATCTATTTATCGGCTATATGGATTGTTTATTATATACTTGAAATTATAAGCTAAAGCGATTTATTAATATTAATAATTTAATTGTGGAAAAGGATTTATCAATCTGTGTAGCCAATCATTAGAAAATTAAAACATTTTATTTTTCTAGATGAATCTAATCTCACTTTTTGATCGATAAAATAGATAATCTAATGCGGCATCCTCTTAAGAAAATATATTTGCGCACACATATCCGCATTATGTAATATATTCCGTCTGTTTTGCATGAATTATTGTGAATTGTAATCAAACATTGCAATGTCATGAGATCATCGAGGATCATCGAGAGATTGCTGTAACAGATTAATGATTGTAGTAGATGATTATTGTTATTGAATCGATATATATATATATATATATATATATATTTTATTTATTTTAATGAAGCAAAATGTATTGTTGATATATGTATATTCTATTCTGAAATTACTATATAAGCATATTTCGTTAATCTGATCTTAAAATAATTTCCTACACAAATAAAATAATGAGATAAATCAATTGGTGTAAAAAAAAACATACTCTTGTGATTTAAAAAATTGCAATTTGCAATGTGCAATTGCATACTTAAAAAAATAACAATCTTTTTTACACCAATTGATTTATTTCATTATTTTATGCAGAAAATTATTAAGATTAGATTATCGAAAATGAGCATATTATAAGATATGTAATATTTTTTGTAAAAGTGTAACAGGATAAAGCATAAATATTTCGTAGTCATAAATCATTTATTAGTTTTCGAGATATCTTGATGTAGAAGTTAAAATGGGACATCTTATATATATCTTATCTTACACACTAAAATTAAATTCAATTTAAATAGATGGAATTTACGTCTTATCTTGGATTACAAAGATATATATTTTATCTGATTTTATATAGAAAACACATAAAATTCTTCTTATTATCGAAAAAGATTTTAAAATAATTGACTTTTAAAATTTGCTTTATATATTTCACATAATACATATAATCTTCAATAAATATGTATACTTATAAAAAAACAATAGCTGTTTAAATGATGATATTTGGAACCCATTTATAGAATCTTTTTACAGCAATGATTGTCTAAAATCGTTTCGAGCAATGTAAAAGTTAATTGATAAGAGTTTCTTTTGAAGGACGCTGTCATTTTATTCGAAGCGAGATAATTATCGAAAATAACCAGCTCTCTCTCTCTCATTATTTATCGTTATTTTTTAACGATAGAAAATTCTTTGGATACCGTGAAATTGGTTTAAAATTGACTTTTTCTAAAGAAAAACAAGATAACTCTCATTTAAACATTTTTAATGTTATATATTTTTCATTCTTTTATATTAACAATTAATGTTTTAAATTAAAATTCTAATAAACTATATCTTGCAGTTTAACGAGATGAAATATATAATGTGTCTGTTTGTCTAAAATATTATGTTTTTGCATACATATTTATTAAAAATTATATATGCATACTATTACGTAAAATGTACATTATAACATACTATTTAAAATATAAGAATGATATATGTATATATAATTTAATATTGTCTTATATTTATTAATTTAATTTAATATAATATCAAACATATTTGTGCATTTGAAAAAATAAATACCTAATTAATATAAAGAATAATCCAAGTTATTAAATTTTACTACTTGTAAAGTTTAATGTAATTCAAGTTTGTAAAATTTAATTTAAAAAAACTTTTAATCGACTTAAATAATCCTATTATTCATCTAATTAAAAATTATTATTTGTTATATTGTATATAGTTATACATATCATATATAACTATATTCGAAATTTCTGCCAAAGACAAATCGATTTAAGTCGACCACAGAGAAAGAGTTTGTTATTAAAAAAAGAAAAGGGGCGAAGTACGACACCTTTGATAATCTCGTAGAAAAATGTTATAACTTGATATGTAAGTTTATTTATTTTTTTCCACGCGTAAACTCTCGTATTGACAATGAGAGAGCAACCGGATAAACAAAAGTCTCGGGATGAAAAGGTTATTCGATCTTGAGGCTCATCCTTCCTCCTTAATCCTGAAAGAAAGTCCTCTCCGAGGACTCCCCGGTGAGTAGCCAACCGGTGGCAAAGCAAAGTACTTTGAGAGAGTCTACTTTTATCCAACGTGACGCGCCACGTTGTGTGCGTATGTATGTATGCGCTTATGTGTGTGTGTGTGTGTCACCTCGTATAAATAGAGAGCCCAAGTCGAGTGTCTGCTCAAGCCGATACTTTATTCATTGGCAGTCCCACCAACCCTTCCAGGAGGCTTCCATTATCGTTCTGAAAGCTTCCGACCGCCTGGTTGTTGATCTAAAACCCACGTTCGCTCCGAAAAGCATCTCCGGGCTATTATCAATCCCGAAAAACCTTCGAACCTCTCGATATTGTTTTCTTCAGAAACGTATGTTTCATTAATAATTAGGAAATTACGTTAGTTTACAAGAAAAGTGGCAAACTGACGTCATTAAACGTCAAAATGACGTCAGTTTGTCACTTGGGAAATATTGTATTGTGTTTTTATTTGAAACCAATCTCCAAGTATAGCAAACTAATTTTGAACGTTGAATGATGTCAGTTTGCTACTTGGATCATTTTAATTGTCCTCCTTGAACTTTTCGAAATTAATGTATTTTCGAAAAAGTTAAAAACTTAGGTAAAATCAATTTTGAAAAAAAATTTTACTCCAGATAGAAAGCATACGTCATTTTAATGTCAAATGACGTTATTAGACGTAAAAATAACGTTATTTTGACGTTTAATGACGTCAGTTTGATACTTGACATATTCACCATATTTTCTAGATAACATTAACCTTTTTACGGAGAAAAATCTCAAATATCAAAAAGCCATTTTTTACAAGTCTCAATTATTTTGGGAATCTGACATGCTAATGAAATTTAATTTTGAACATTGTTTTCAACACCCAAAAATCTATAAAAACACTTTGTCTGGCTTAAAATCAGCGCAATTTGCCAATTTAGAAATAACCTATCACTGATTAAAAAAACTTTTTTTCTTTGTCATGTGATTTCTTGTGGGCTTTTTACATCTTTTATGTATTTGAGTGTGTGTTTCTATTTCGTTTTCTACAATTGGCCGTTTAAGATGTTTAAATAGGTACTCGTATATTTTAATCCTTAGCAGGAATCATTTAAAAATCAATTTGTAAAATATTTTTTTGCTTTTTATTTATTTATTTATTTTACGTTTTATTTTTTATTTATTTACAATATCAATTTTTACCGTTCTGAAAATTTACTACCGTTTTTAATTGATAGCCAGCGCGAAGCAAGCAAGTAATTTCGCTTTATTGTTACCGTAATTACGTTGGTTGATCGGGCGATCGGTCGTCGTGCAAAATGCAGAAAAAAAGAAAGAACTAACATAGAAGAAGTCACAATCAGCAGTTCATGTGACACGATACAAGTATAGCAGGAAGCAATTATACTGCAATAACACGCTTAATAGACGTGGGCTTTTTAATTCTTTTATGTGTTTGTGTGTGTGTTTCTATTTCGTTTTCTACAATGGGACGTTTAAGATGTTCAAATAGGTACTCGTATATTTTAATCCTTAACAAGAATCATTTAAAAACAAATTTGTAAAATATTTTTATTCTTTTTGCTTTTTATTTATTTATTTATTTTACGTTTTATTTTTATTTTTTATTGATTTATTAATTATATCTCATATACTATAATTTTTAGAATTTTTAAAATCTTTATATATATAATTTCTCTCTCCTCGTCTGTTATTAAATAATTATTATTTTTGTTAGGAAAAGTAACTGATTTTAATATAATGTAGAGATAAAACGCAAGAAATAAAAATATAATTTCATGTATACATATAATAACTAAAAATAGAGCAATGCATTAATAAGCATTTTGAATGTGTAAGTATATAGAAAATTAATCTTTCTTCCTATTCTGTTAAAAAAATAACAGTTAACTATAAATAATTTAATATATAATTATATAATAATATATAAAATTGCAAGTTTAGTAGTAGATATATTTTTATAACATTATTAATATAAAAGAAGTTTGTGAAATATAATTTTAAATGCAGTGCACTGTCTTTCACAAATCTATAAATAAGTATAAATTCCCCAAGTAATCTTAGCAGAAATATTAAATTTTTAAAAACGAATCGATAGTTTTCTATGATTTATACACCGTTAAATATATCTCGTATAATTTACCGATATATGTGTGTGTGGGTGTATGTGTAATAAAAAGTAATATACAGGGTATCTCAAAAGCAACAGTTATAAATACAAAACGAAAACAAAGGTTTTTGAGAAAAATGTTTCAAATAAAAGTTGTAGTAATATTAGTGTGATGTGATTATAAATAGAGCATTATTAAATACGTAAAATTCACTTTGAAATTTTTAAATAAATACACTTTTATTACATATTCATGTAGCTTATCTTAGGATCTTGTCAAAATACTAAGTTTTTTCCGTTAAGTATTTTTTTTCGAGTTATGAGGCTTAAAAGATAAAGTATTTTTTAACATAAAAGATTTGTATATTGTAAAACATTCAGTTTTCGATAATCTTACTTTAATACTTTTATGCACAGAATAATGAGACTAATTAATTGATGTAAAAAAACGCGTTTATAAAAATTTAAGAAAAATTGTTTTTAAGAAAAAATATATTACAAATTGTAATATATACATTTTCTTAAAAATAACTAAATACATTTTATGTAAAAAAAATTGTAAACTTATAAATAAAAATATGAATAATATATTTTTATATCACTTTAATTTTGTATTTTATGTCAAAAATACTGAACTTTAAGCATTATAATGAAAAAAACACTGAAAAAAAATACTTTATTATATAATGTTTCAAAAGCTCTCGAGATAAACTGCAATAATGTGCAATCAAAATATGGGTTTTCATTAAAAAATTTTGTGTTAAAAGTCCTATACAATTTTTATTTGAAACACTTTTTTCAAAAAACCTTTGTTTTCGAGATATTTATTGACTGTTGCAGGTCTTTTGGGACATTCCGTATATTTTTAAAAGATTTTATATTTTTCGCGTCTCTTCCTCTTTTCGAAGAAATAGAAATTTCACACACATATGATATAGAAATGTAAGAGCAATTATTTCGAGTCGTCGAATTTTTGCGCGTGACAGACGGTGTCTGTCGATCGGCCGAATTTCCAATTCAGAACAGTGTCGATAGTATATTTTAAATTCGATGCTATAAATTCGATCCTATCAAAAAAAAAAAAAAAGAAAACGGCAAAAACTTGACGATAAGGGCAATCTGCGTTTTATCAGAATTGTCGGGGCCACGCTCGTGAATTTTCGCTTTGATTCGCCGATTCGCGCCACGTTTTTACAGGGAGGAGGGTAAATTCGCGCGATAAATTCGCTGCTCAGCCGGCCGAATTTTCACGGACGCGCGCAAAGTATCGAAAATGGAAAACCGATAAATAATGTCAAGCGCGAGATTAACACTCGGGATATATCAGATTAAAACGCTCTTCTAATCAAATCGCGTTCGCTCTCGCGTTTTATCGTATCCATCTAGTTACTCTAATCATGAAATATCCTCCCTCCCCCGTCCCCACGTTCATTTGACACTTCGAAGATTAAATTGTGTGTTATCGGAGTGATTGCTATACCGCATTCCGTAACGATAAATTCGATTTTAATGATTAATGGAACATTTGATGCTCTTGCGAAAGAAACTAAGAAGAATTAATACGTACATATTATTTTACAATAAGAATTCTACAATTTTTGTACTAATATAAAATATATATTACTATATAAAATATACAAATTTTTATTATACATATATGTAATAATAAATAAATTATAATATGTATTATATTATATATTATAATTATATTGTCATATTATAATTATAGCATATTCTATTATATTATTATATTATGTAATATATTATATGTAATTTTATTATTGTTATATATTATGTTATATATTTTTATGCATTTTATATATGTATTTTTATATATATTTAATTTTTAGATATTGTTCAATACATGTAGTTATTTTTAATAATTTATGGAAAAATTTGATATTAAAAAGACTAAAAATTAAAATAGTTGCCGTACGAATTATTGCGCACTATTATTATATTACACAGCATGCAAATATTGCAATATTAATAAAAATGTGACTCACCGGAGTAGGGTACTTAAAGTAGTCTGTCTAATCATGCAGCATTGTAAGAGAGGTGCCAAAATAGACGTCTCGTCGTGAAAGGGTTTTCCGAAACCCCTTCCGTGGTCCAGATGCAACGTGAAGCTGTCGTTTCCAAAAATCCTGAACGTCTCGTAATGATGGCGATCCATGTTGCCCGTTAAAAAGTCGAAGACGGCCATGTCCATCAGGTCGAGCAATCTTCGACCCTCGTCGTAGGGTGAGATTTCTTTTACCAGCGAACAATAGTCGGAATCTGTAAGTTTGCAAAAAAGTTTATTTATTAATAAATGTTATTTTATCAATTATATTTTTAATGAAATAAGTGTTAAAGATTGCACAATGTACATAGTAAGTTAAGGGCATAATAGGATGGTTGCGCTTACATAATGCAGATAAAAATCGCAAGGTAGCGCGTGCGTCGATCAAACTCGCTACTATTTAAACGTATATAAAAACTTATTGTCAAAATTTAACAGATTGTAAATATACTGGGATTAAAATAAAAAAATTAATAAATTCAATGCAACAAAGATGTACAAATATACACATGTATAGGATGGTTCAAAGTGTTACTGAATTTTTCTGAAGGGCGCTTTTCAAGATCATTTGAAAGTCATTTATGTTTTCAAAACAAATATTTATTTTTCGCCGATCTTAACTCGATACTTTTATTTATAAAATAATGAAAAGAATCAATTGGTAAAAAAAAATTGGAAAAAATTAGTAAAAGATATTCAAAATAAGGCAAAGGATTATTATAAAAAAATATGATAATAATAAAAAAAAAATAATAGCAAAAGTTAAAGCAAATAAATAAAGTTCAGTAGGATACAACGAAAAAGCGAAACATTTTCTTTAAATATAACCCAAGTCGCAAATTGACGTCATTAAACGTCGAAATGACGTCATTAGACGCCATTTTGACGTTAATGACGTCAGTTTGCTACTTGGTAAAATAATGTAATCAAAAGAAAAGGACATCTTATGCTTTTCTTTTGTAATCCTCGGAATCTCTTAGGACGGAATTCTTGAAGAAACGAAGGTGTTCTCACCGTCTTCCCACTGGGCCTTCTTCCGCTTGTGATAACTCCTACGCCAAGGGTGTCGCCAAGCCTTCCTGGCCGCGAAGGCTTTGTCGGGCAGAAAGGCGGCGAAGCTGCCCTCCAGGGTGTCCGGGCTACCGCAAATCGCGTGTGCGGTGTCACAATAGTAACTGCATTTGCCATGGAAGCACAGATTGCCAGCCGGACTTACAAAGAACGTCTTGAGCAGCTCGCCGTCGGCAATCTGATAAACTTCTGTAGTAACATTGAGAGTTCGGCCGCTTACCGGCATCGCTCTGTGGAATCCCAGAAGCCTGTAATAAATTTAAAAAAAACATGAAATCTTTCTCTTTTTACGTTAACAAAAATTAAAATATTTTTTTCATTATTTTAAATCAGACAAGATTCTTCTTATTTTGGATGCTGAAAACGACGTCGCAAACTAATTTTCACCAGCACGTCAGGCTTTTGAAATAAAAAATGGCTTTTAATAATAAATATGGCTTTTTGCGATATTTGAGATTTTTTTAAGATTAACATTATCTGGAAATTCTGATCAAAAAAAGTATTGTTTATCCCCTATAAAACGCATTTATTTTTTATTTCGATATCACTTTTTAGTCATGTTAATTAAGAAGGATGTAAATACAGAGTTTTGCTAAGATAGTAAATATTTTTATCGTAGGATAAATTCCACTAAATGTTTATTTATAGGATGTCTCATTTTAATTGTCCATCTTGAATTTTTCGAAACAAATGCATTTTCAAAAAAATGTTCCAGATAAAAGTTTTATATGATGTAAAGACAAATAATGAGTAAAATCAATTGAGAAAAAATAATTTTTCCTCAGGAACACCTCCATATAAGAAAAAGTTCCCATTTTTAATCTTTCATAACACGACTAAAAAGTAATTAAAATAAAAAAATGTATTTTATAGAGAATGAATGTAAAATTTAAAATTAGGTTTGCGGCATTGTTTTAAGCACCTAAAAATCTATAAGAAACATTTTGTCTGGTTTAAAATAACTTTTGCCTATAAACTAGTGTTATTAAATTTTAAACTTTTGATTTTAAATATTAAATATTAAATTTTTAATTTTAAATATTACATATTATTAACTAAATTATTAAATATTTAAATTTTAAATATTAATATGAATTTAAAAGCTTTGCTTTTCGGAATTACAAGCGAAGCTTTTAAAATCAAAATTTCATTCCACAAAATGCAAAATAAAATTCCTTCAATTTATTAGATTCTGAAGAAAAATAATTTTTTATCATTATTCTTTAGATGAGCAAAAAATATAGTTAGTATTTGTCTTGACAAATTTAATTCAACTAAAACTCTTTAAAATATATATATGTGGAGAAAATAAATTTTTATAATATTATTTATTGGATTTAATATAATATAATTGATTTACAATATATTATGATTTATATCTTTGATTTTTTTTCTATATGTTGCATCTATATTTAATATTTTTATAAGCAATTGAGATTTTTTTATTCTTTTTCTAAAATAATTTATTTTACATTCTTAGTTTCTCTATTTTTCTCATATAAAAATCAGATAAAATTTTGATCTTAACACATAAAAAAAGGTAAATGTAACATTACCTGTCTAGATGGAAGGAGGCTATTTCAGCGGTATGTCTCTCGAAGTCCGTGAAGTAGAAATGATTCGGCAAAGTCTGTTGCTCTCGTGGAAATCTGTGCATGATAATTTTTGGTTATCATCATATTATAAAAAAAATCAACTTTTTTTAAAGACAGTTTGATGGGGGTTTAAAATCTTTAAGTTCCCTACGATTTAACAGGATAAAAAATAACTTTAAACAAATATGAAGAAAAACTAAGTTGTAATTAAAATTCTTGTTGCTATATGTACGTTAATTATGACTTTGAGAAAGTCCGAAAATCTGTATAAGATAGTTTTTGTCTTGGAACGTCTTATGTAATCGACCGGAAGATACGAACGTGTTCAAAAGAGAGCTCGCGTGCGTAATATTGCAGGGATTATCCGAAATTGCTATATTGCGGAAGATTACAGCGAATTGCGGCATCAATCGATCGATATCTGTCGCGTGACTTTGTGACTTGCCTTCGTATATTGCATAATTCAATAATCATGTCAATTATGTATATAAGCACATACATATACATATGTGTGTTTATATATATACATATATAAAATAATAATTATATATATAATTTTACTAAATTGTCATTTTTTAAAAAATTTTATATAAAATAAAGTATTATAAAATTACTTGATTTCACATTAACAAAAAAACTTTATAAAATGAAAAACCCTTTATTAAAGTAACAAAAGAGATTTTCCTTTTTTTCTTAATTTCTTCGAATATTGTAAAAAGATTTATTTATTTATTTCGTTTAATTACATCTCATTTCTATTAATAACTTGCAGTACATTCTACACATTGTAATTATTCATTTAGCAGATAAATTAATATGATTGAGCAACACACAAACAAGTGTACGTGTACGTATGTATCTGTATATTCGTATACTTGTATCAGTATTCTAATATCCAATTGTTATAAATCCATGCTCGTTATCAATCGCTGGTTATTTGATAATTATCTCGTGCATTGATAGCTAAATAAGGATATTATTAAAAATATACAGGACAGCACATTTAAATTAAAAAGACCATTACGTGTAGTATAAATAAATATTTTCTAAAAAAAAACTGTTTTCTATCCCGAATAACAAGCGTACGCCATTTTGATGTAGAATGACATCATTAGACGTCAAAATGGCGTCATTTTGACATTTAGTGACGTCAATTTGCCACTTGGAATAGCTTTTTTACTTTGTAATACTACACCTATTGTATATATGCATAGATATTTACATATCTAGTCAGTCAAATATTTTATTACATCATCCTGGAATGATAAATTTCAAATTGCGCAACGTGCAGTCGTGCGGAATACATCGTATGATAAAGAAAAATCAAAATTATTCGCCGGGGAAGTGCAGCGAAGGGACAATGCGAAAGCTCGGGCTTTTATTGGTCCCCGAGTTTCTCTTGAGAATTTCTTTCGAGATGAGTGGGAAGGGAAAAGAAGGACGAAAGAGGAAGGAAGAAGGAAGAGGAAGGAGATGGAGCGAGAGAAAGAGAGAGCTTCAGGAGTTCCGCAAACTCGAGCACGATCAAATATTTACTCGATGATCTTAGTGCGGGCTTACGAGCCGCGCGTTATATGTGTATATATACATATATGTATACACATGAGATAGGACAATAAACACACACACACAAACATACACATATACGCGCGCGCGCAAGTGAGATCTGATCAATCTCTAGGAAATAGGGAAAAGAAAAAGAATCTAAGAAATCCAGTCACTCGAGCCGTTAATTTAATATGTTCTATATATAAAGGAAACCTCAACCTTTAATTTCCTAAATTCTAGATTAAATTATAATGTTTCAAAGAGGGACGCGCTTAACCTCTAAAATATAAGTCGTCGCTCCATAAGTGTTCCACATAAAGCTTCCGCTTTTAGAAAATCTGAACCGTTCACGATGCAACAACTCAATAATATACAGTGTTGTGATTCAAAAATTATCTAGATAAAACGAGATGAAAGTAAGTAAATTTATTTTATGGATACATATGAGATAGGACAATTAACACACACACAACATACACTATATGCGCGCGCGTATGTGAGATCTGATCAATCTCTAGGAAATAGGGAAAAGAAAAAGAATCTAAGAAATCCAGTCACTCGAGCCGTTAATTTAATATGTTCTATATAAAGGAAACCTCGGACCTTTAATTTCCTAAATTCTAGATTAAATTACAATGTTTCAAAGAGGGACGCGCTTAACCTCTAAAATATAGGTCGTCGCTCCATAAGTGTTCCACATAAAGCTCCCGCTTTTAGAAAATCTGAACCGTTCACGATGCAACAACTCAATAATATACAGTGTTGTGATTCAAAAATTATCTAGATAAAGACGAGATGAAAGTAAGTAAATTTATTTTATGGATACATATGAGATAGGACAATTAACACACACACAATATACACTACATGCGCGCGCGTATGTGAGATCTGATCAATCTCTAGGAAATAGGGAAAAGAAAAAGAATCTAAAAAATCCAGTCACTCGAGCCGTTAATTTAATATGTTCTATATAAAGGAAACCTCGCGACCTTTAATTTCCTAAATTCTAGATTAAATTATAATGTTTCAAAGAGGGACGCGCTTAACCTCTAAAATATAGGTCGTCGCTCCATAAGTGTTCCACATAAAGCTCCCGCTTTTAGAAAATCTGAACCGTTCACGATGCGACAACTCAATAATATACAGTGTTGTGATTCAAAAATTATCTAGATAAAGACGAGATGAAAGTAAGTAGATTTATTTTATGGATACATATGAGATAGGACAATTAACACACACACAACATACACTATATGCGCGCGCGTATGTGAGATCTGATCAATCTCTGGGAAATAGGGAAAAGAAAAAGTCTAAAAAGGTGTCACTCGAACAGTTAATTTAATATGTTCTATATAAAGGGAATCTCGCGACCTTTAATTTCCTAAATTCTCGAGATTAAATTATAAATGTTACAAAGGGGGACGCGCCTCTAAAATATGGGTCGTCGCTCCATAAGTGTTCCATATAAAGCTGCCGCTTTTAGAAAATCTGAACCATCCACGATGCGACAACTCAATAATATACAGTGTTCTGCTTAGATGATTTTAAAATTATCTAAATAAAGATGAGAGATATAAAAATATAGTCATTTTAAATGGATAACTTGATATCTAGATAAAATTATATAGCGATTCATCTAGATAATAATTTTTAAGACTGTTTATGTAAACACAGTTATAAAACTATGTGAATTATAAAAGAAATATAAAAATAAATTCATACTTTTTTTGTAAGTTTTTATCGTTTATTGCTTAAGTTCTACTATTTAAGTATTTTTATTTAATGTACTATGATTCTGAAGCAAATTATTTGAACATTATTCTAGATAATTTAGTAAAGATATAACACTTTTTCATTTAAGATGCAAATATAAATAATACATATCTTTATTATCTATATAAAGATAAAAGGACGTCAAAATTTCATATAGATGATCATCTATATAATTTTATTTAGATAACAGCAAACATTGATTATATACGTAAAAAATACGTAATTACCTTGTAAAATAAATTAAAAAATTGCACATAAAAAATATAGTATATATCGTAAAGAGAAAATGTGTTTTTATTCTTCCTTTAGATGGAGTAAATTTTGTCCAAGCGAGTAACGAGAGCTTATTGCGACCAAGCTTGGCCCCAAAATTCTTGCTACTGCTCTCTTCCTTTCTCTCTCTCCCTCACGGGTCGCAAACTTTTGGAAGAACTTATTGGCAAACTTATTACCGGAGTTTAAGCCGCGCGCGAGCGGCGGCCACTTATCGTGAAATCTTCGGCCCACTGGAAGTTTAAAGGGTTCTGGACTCGTGTGGATCATTGAGAGAGAAAGAGATGGGGAGGGAAGGAGAAAGAAAGAGACGAAGATAGATATCGTAATATCTGGCTTGTCCGAAAATTTTTCTCGACCTTCCTAGATATTGCGCCATCGCTATCTCTCCGCACTTGGCGTGTCGCAAAAAATTTTTCCGAATGCTGATTACACTTAGTTTACAAAAGATTTTTTTTCATCATTTTTAATCAAATAAAGATAAACCAAACAACCCCTAAGTAGCAAACTGACATCATTTGATGTCAAAATTAAAATTCATCAATCATTTTGACATCTAATGACGTTATTTCGACGTCGAATAACATCATTATATGACGTTTAATGACGTCAGTTTGCTACTTGGGGATGTATCTTAAGTCGTGCCTTATTTTTCTAGAGACTCAATCAACAAAGTCCCAACAAGTCAAAAATAAAGAATGAAGATTTTACGTTTAATTCTTCTTTAAGAAGTTACAATTCAAAAACAAAATGCATTTTTAAATGTTTATCTGGAAATTCTTCACAAGCAATAATGGCGGAACGCCTTCTGTAATTCTAATCTTATTGTCTATTTGTTAATTAATGTTGTGTCTTTTAACTTATGATTATCGAAGTAATTTTTTTTACAAATTTTTAATTCAAATAAAAATAATAATCCAAATAAATTTTTCAATTGTATTTCTTTAAAGAAGGCTCAAACGTTATTTCGTCATTCTCGACGTATTTTACTTTGATTCGTCCTTCAAAGATAAAGTGACTACATATACCCTATATTTTTATTTTAAACAAATATATATTTGTTTGTAGATATAAATATATCGATTAAAAAATTGAAAAACCATAAAGAGTCACCTAATTTAATATATTAAATATAGAAATAATAATTATATAGCATCATAATTATAATTTAAAATAAAAACGGAAATAAAAATATAAATTTTTGAATCGTCAATATCATAAATTATAAAATATCAATTAAAATTGAATTCGTCGCATTTGATAAGCTATCAGGCAAAAAGACACGCTCTCGGAAACAATGGAGTGTGTGACGTATCATTTACGAGAGAAGCGGTACGAGAAAAGAGAAAAGAAGAAGAAACGCGACGAAAGGAAATTGTGAAGTTGCTCGAGAGTGTTTCTCTCATAGCTCTCATATGAGGATACGTTCAAGATACCATTTATATAATTGCGCTCGTAACTGAATCCGCGTAACTTTGTCAGTGGGAAGAAATCGAGACAGAAGTGATTATATGTATATAAATTATTGTAGATATGTATATTTATGTTTGTCTGCTTATCAAAACTTTTATCAATCTCGAAAGAGTCAGAACGAGGCACAGATATTTTTTTAGAATTTTTACTACAGTTACTTAAATTCCAATTATAAAAAGATCTTTCTGGTAAAGAGAGAAAGAAATATAAATTTTATGTATATAGGGTGGCTCACCTAAAAAAATGTTAAAAGCCAATAACTTTGAAAATATTTGTTGAATCAAAAATTTGTTTAAGAGAAGTTTAATGTATTTAAGAGGTCTTTCTAACTATGTAAAGTTACCTCCGCTCCTCCTTCAAGGAAAGGGTAAATTCATAATTTTAAATGGAATCCGTTATAAAATATTTCGTATTTGGATTTTACGAAAAAAAGCAAGTCAATTTTCTTCGGAACATTTGTTTGATTAATTTTAATTATTTTGTAATTAAATGTAAGCTTTCGAATTTACTAAAATATTTTATTTTTTTAAAATAAGTTTCCTTCAACTTTTTTAAATTTTCCTAAAAATTAATTAATTTTATATTTTTTCTACAAATAGTTAATTTAATAAAGAATTTAATTTTTGAAAATTTTCTAAAGATAATATAAACAATTTCATATTAATTTTTTTATCAAGTAAAATATATAATAAAGATCGTCGGTAAATAGCTCCGTTTTGCGTATCAATTACCACGCCTGACTCTTAATTGCCCCTCTTTCCGCATAAAATATATAAGTAAAAAAAAATAAAAACAAAAACTATAATATCTTTCATTTAACTTATGATTTTATCAATTTAACTTTTAAATGATAACTCTACTTTAAAGTTTAAATGCTTATAACTTTTGATAGAAATATTTTTCTAAGAAATACTCCAGATAAAATTTACTCACTTTTTTTCATAAAATTCAAATATATAATTTATAGGAGTTTCCATTTGAAATTACAAAATTATTTCTCACTTCCCTTAAAGAACGAGCGAGGACGACTTAATGTTTACGTCTAGTTAGAAAAGTCTCTGAACAATGTTGTACTTATTGTTATATGATTTTAAAATTAGCTAGATAAAGATGAGATACAAATATGTAAATTCATCTTAGGATAAAGATAATTTTATTTTAAATTTATATAAAAAATAAAATTACATGGCAATTCATCTAGATAATTTTCAGATAATATTATTTTTAAGACTGCTTATGTAAACACAGTTATAAAAAAATGTAAATTATAAAAGGAATATAAAAATATATGTATTCAGATTTTTATTTATAAATTTTTCTCGCTTACTGCTTAAGTTCTACTATTTAAGTATTTTCATGTGCTACGATTCTAAACCAAAATTATCTGAAAATTATTCTATAATTTAGTAAAGATAATACTTTTTTATCTAAGATGCAGATATAAATAATACATATTTTTATTATCTATATAAAGATAAGATGACGCCAAAGTTTCATCTAAATAATCATCTATATAATTTTATTTAGATAACAACAAACACTGCTTCTCAAATACATGAAATTTTTTGATTTGGCAAATATTGTTTGAGTTATCGACACTGGTAATACTTTATATTTATGGGCCACCCTGTATATCCTAGCGTTAATGTAGGCGCTATCGGAACGATGTCCTACGGTAGAACGTCGCGACGCTCATTGAGCCCCGACAAACTGCCAAAGTAATTTCGCACGTTGCCTGCCTGTGACTCCAAGATATACCAAAAACTTTCCGACACTCAGCGGTCTGTCGCTGTCTTTATTCGCGAAAGTCATGGAAGCTGACCTCTTCCTCGTAATTTGCGCACGATCGCCACTAATTAGCGCCATTTGCCTTATTACAGCACACGGGTGTAATTATTTTATTTTAATATATCACTTATATATATATATATATATATATATATATATTTAATATATTTAATTTAAATATACATATACAGGGTGTCATTTTTATCGACCATCCCTATAAAGTTTTATTTTATTGGTTTTTTAAAGGACATTTGAAGGTCATTTACGTTTTTTTAAATAAAACCACTATATTCTTTAAATAAATTAATTCTTTGTAATTTTTGGCATAAAAAGTTATAAAAGTAAGATGGTCAAAAAACAAATAGTTTATAGAAGATATTTTATACTTAAATTTGATACAATTTTACATAAGCTGTGAAATATCTTATAAAATATTCACTTTTCGATGATCTTGTCTGAAAACTTTTATACATAAAATTAATGAAAGAAATTGGTGTAAAAAAAACACATAATTTTGTTTCGAAGAAAAAGTATGTAAATTGCAACTAGCAGCTACATACTTTTTCTTACAAACAACTATGTGTTTCTTTTATACTAATTAATACCTTTTATTACATTATTCATAAAATATGTAAGTAAGAAAAATGAATATTTTACGAGATATTAATAATTCATCAATTATATATTTAACATTTTGTCAAATTTAAATATAAAATATCTCCTAAACTATTCATTTTTTTATCATCTTATCCTTATAACTTTTTATGCCAAAAATTGTGAGCAATCGATTTATATAAAAAAAATATGGTGATTCCATTTAAAAATATAAATGACTTTTAAATGACTTTGGAAAGCGCTCCTCAGTAATGCCATCTTCTGTCCTCCTTCAAATCAAATAACTTTTGTTTTAATCAGGTTGTTGTATTAATAAAAAATAAAAAAGGTTATGGGGTCAAATAACTTTTGTTTTAATCAGGTTGTTGTATTAATAAAAAATAAAAAAGGTTATGGAGTCAAATAACTTTTGTTTTAATCAGGTTGTTGTATTAATAAAAAATAAAAAAAGTTTTGGGGTCAACTAAAATCGGACATCCTGTATGTTTTCAGAATATGTTCTCCAAGAGAGAGAGAGATGATATAAAGATAAAAAAATTACAATAAAGTAATTAAATATCCCAGGTGACAAACTGACGTCAAAATAACGTCATTTTGACATTTAATGGTGTCATTTTGCTACACATATGTATATATAAATATTCTTATACATCAATGATGTACTTACCGCATTGGTTTGAACAATGCTTGCGTGTTATCGCCATAATCAATGATTAATTTTAGCTGTGTGCCGCCGTCCTTTTGAACTGCAACAAAAATTCGATAAATCTTTACATTATGAAATATACTCGATTAAAACTTAAATAAAAAATTCAAATTTTCTCATAATTATAATATAATAATAATTATAGAATAATATAAATTCTCTCTCTTTTTAGCTAAATTCTGCTAACTTTGCATCACGTTTTGATTTTGATTTCCAAAGGGATTTTTAGCGAGAAAACACAATAAAAAAAATCTAGGATTTAATAAAATATGCAAGATATATAGTGATATAAATATTTTACAAAACGTAAATTTTAAATTTTAACACGCGAAAAAATTAACAAAATTATTGCATTTCGAATAGAAATCATAAAAACTATATAAACACATGCACACAAATATGCAAACACATCAACTTATTTTTTATTATTTTCAATTAAAATTTTATTCAAAGAAAACAAAAAATTTGCATATGTACCTTAGTTTCATTCATTTATTTATGTGTAATAAAAAATAAACACGTAAACGGCAGGAGAAACTTTCCAATAAAAATTAACCTGATCTAATCTATATATATTTAAAGGGATGAATTATTAAAATATTATTCATATACCCTTCGAAAATAAATTAGATTAGACTAGTTTTTTCTTTGGGGAAGAGAAACATCCTTTAGATTTATTATGCATAAATAAATAAATGTGCTAAGAATACACACTTTATAAAAAATGTACATATAAAATAATGATCGTCGAATACATACAATATTGGTCTCATCTATTTTTTTGTCATCCTAATTTTATTACAATCTATCCATGTACGTAGGACATTTAGCAATATTTATGTCATGGAATTGAACATGAGAAGAACGTTTCCGGTGATATGATCTTATATTGATTATACTTTATGTAATTATATAATGATTAATACTTTGAGGTGTGTAGATCTAAAGTTTTTAGGGTAAGTTATGTTACAATATTGTATATTTTAGGATATAAAGTCTATTGGTATTTTTCTCTTTAGTCTTCTCGTTTTAAAGGATTGTTTCATGAGGTTTACTGTTAGAGAGTTCGGGTGATTTAGGAGTCTATTATGATAGTTTGTACAACACTTTACAATTTCTCTTTTGACGCTCGGTATTTGGAGGTCGTGTTGTATGAAATCGTTGGTTATAAACCATGGAGCATCTAGAATCATTCTTAAGACCTTGGATTGGAAGTGCTGTAGTATTTCTTGGTTTTTAACTTTAATAGTATAATTGTCTTGAGTAATTAGATTTAGCATGTTTATTAACGGACTAATATTATTGACTCCTGAAATAAATATTGGTAGAGCTTTTATAGGTTTAACAGTATCTATATTTTCTGTTCTTTCGAATTCCTGGTTGTCTAGTTGCTTGTATTTATTTGCTACACTAATTGGCGCGCATAGTCAGTAATCGGTAATACGTGTTTGTTTTGAGTGGCGTATATTATTATAATCTCTAAAAACTCACCTTTAAAAAAAGGTAAAAAAAGGCGACCAGTTAAGGGCACGCCATTAACAAAATTATCCATTGCAAACCCATGGAGAATCCTATCCTATTGCAAACCCATGTAGAATCCTATGAAAAATTAATCATTGCAAACCCATGTAGAATCCTAGGCAAAATTAACCATTGCAAACCCATGTAGAATCGTACCCATTGCAAACCTATGTAGAATCCTATGAAAATTAACCATTGCAAACTCATGTAGAATCCTATGAAAAATTAACCATTGCAAACCCATGTAGAATTGTATTAAAAATTATCCATTGCAAACTTATGTAGAATCCTACATTGCAAACCCATGTACAATAGAATTGTATGAAAAATTATCGATTATAAACCCATGTACAATCGTAACAAAAGTAATGAAATAAAAAAAAAATTGCGCCAAGTGAAAGTAGAAACTTGTACCAGTGGAAAATTAAAGTTGCAGACATATATAGAGTCGTATAATGAATCAGTAAAAATTTAAATTTGCAAATGTAGAATCGTACCATAAAAAAACTTATCTTTTAAAAAAAA